GGCGTTCGGTGTAGTGGTTCATAAAGAAGCAGCGCCGTGTTCGGGCACAAGTCGAAATAGTTTATGTTTTTTCGGCCTACAAGTCAAAGTGCAATGTCAGATTCTAGTTGAGATTGAGATTGCACTTTGCCTTGGTAGTCGAAGCGCAAATCAAAGACCCAGAGCGGCAGCGCGCGCGTCTTGAGAAACTTGACGTACGCCATACCGTCTTCACAGTAGCCGTGGTTTCGAATACCTTGCGGGAGAAAAATATCGACCTCGGGACATTGCGCGAGGTGCGCAATGAGCTCCTTTTGTGGCGTCTCGTCGCGGGACCAGAGCTGGGCGAGGTCGACAGTCGAGCTGTTGTATGACCAGTGAACGATGCTGTCGCTGGCGTGGAAGCAGGCTTCGTTGAGGTTGTTGAGGTGCACCACGTCGCCAAAGAGGTCGTCTGCAGCGTGCATCGCCTCGGCACTTAAAGCGTCGTCGAGGTACACGAGCCGACACGCGATGCATACCGAAGAAGCAACGAGGCACAGAAGCGAAACGACGAGGCACTTGTGGTAGAGGCGTTGGCTCGTACTGCTTCTCCTACACCCGTGCGTCGGAGCAGCTCTCGTTGGGAAGGGGGCCTTGCCAGCCATTCTTGAGAGTGTGATCACCCAAGAGAAGGTGTGATGATGATAAAGACTTGGGGACACTCGACTCAAAACATCGCGGGGACTGGATATTATGAACCGCTGCGACGCGCGCGTGGACGTAGCCTCCACCTGTTTGTTGCCGGTTCGCCTTGCCGAAAAATTATTAGACGCTGTGGGAATGACAGACGGATGGCGCGAGCTGTTAGAAACACGAAAAGTAGAATTTTGGTGAATCGTTTCGTCAACGGTTCCTGAAGGGTATCAAACCTAATAAGCGTGTATATAGTCCGACCAAAGCGAGGAAATAAACCATTTATTCCCTTGGTCCACATGGAAAACCAACTTAGATTTACAAGAAAACGTTATGGCCGTTCGTCAAATTCGGCGCGGACATGGCGCATGGCGCTCTTGAAAGCGCGCAGCTGGTCTTCATACCGCCGGCGACCGTTCTCACCGCGTTCTCGCCGCTGTGCCGGCGTGAGCGCCATGACCTTGTCGACCGCGTCGCAAATCGCGTGCGACGTCACGTCCCACTCCATGCCGCCATAGATGCTCAGGAGCTGGTTCCTACAAGCACGCAACGTCACTCCTCTTCTCAAAGCAACACAAATAGAATCGTACGGGTTGGGGCTGAGGCGGGAGGCTTCAATGAGGACACCAGAGTCCTCATCGACAAACTCATTCATGGGCGCCCCGTCCGTCGTCAAGACAAGCGCGCCGGACGCGCGTGCTTGGTTGATGTAGTGGCCAAAGCCTTCCATCTTGCTCGGGCACAAGATCGCGCTCGACTCGAGGAGGAGGCGGCCAAAGTGGGCCACGTCAATGTCCTCGCCAAAGTGAAAACGGATGTTGGCGGGTGCACCCGTGACGCCAAACATCTCATCAAAGTCTTCCTTGACGCCGCTGTACATGGAGTAAATGTCAATCGGCGGCAGATCCGGTCGGCTCTCCCAGCATTGGAAAATGCGTTTGGTGTTTTTCTGCGCGCTGTGGCCGCTGGCGTGGAAGAATGTGATTTTGTCAAAGTCCTTGGCCTTGATCGGTGGAAGCTCTGGGTGCGAGAGTGCGTGGACGAGCGCGGCTGTCGACGGGTCCGACGACGTGTGCTGCACGTAGAGCACGTTGGTGTCGCGCGGATTGCCATGGTCGAGGAACCTACTCGCGAGAATAATGACATTCTCCAATTCGATTTACAATCTCAAAAATTGTGGTTTTGAGAACGACGCACCATTGCGTGAGCCGGTCGTAGGTGTTGCGGGTCTTGCACAACACCGCGTCAAAGCGCTGGAAGTCGTTTCCTTTGAGCTCAAACATCTCAATGTTGGGCATCAAAATAATCTTTTTTTCCTATCACACAACAAGTGTTGAGATTGAGATTGTACTGCACGTGCTTTGGTTTGTACCTTGGGAAAGTCGGGGCGGTCCAGAAGGCCGTCGGTGTAGTGGTTCATGAAGATCATGGCTGTCTTGGGGCACAAATCGAAATAGTTGATGTTTTTTCGGCCTACAAATCAACGTGTCAGTACAACGTTGAAATTGAGAGTGGGGACGCGACCTTGGTAATTGAATCTCAAATCAAAGACCCAGAGCGGCAGTGCGCGCGACTTGAGAAACTTGACGTACGCCATACCGTCTTCGCAGTACCCGTGGTTGCGCAGACCTTGCGGTAAAAAGACATCGACCTCTGGGCACTGTGCCAGGAGCTCCACAATCTGCATGCGCGGTGTCCAGACGTAGCTGGGGTCGACCTGGGAGCTGTTGTACGTCCACGGAATCACCACGTCGCCGGCGTGGAAGCATGCTTCGTTGAGGTTGTTGAGGTGCAGGATTTCACCAAACAAGTCCATCTTGCTGCTCGGCTCCGCTTGGGACCGGCGCAGCGACTGCATCGAGACCTCCGCGTCATGACGAGGTTCAAGACGAGGACAAGCCCGATGAGCGCGAGGAACCCGAGGTACATGGCCTGCGGCGCCCACCGCCCATCGTCTCTCTACCGCAATAGACGCATGAGGCCTCGGCCACCACCACATCGCATCCATACGAGCTTGGCCATCGCAGGATGTTTGGGACCGTTCACGCCTACCGGAACAAGATCTTGTTTGCCTGTCTTCCATCCAGTGTCTGGAAACCAGGAAAAGACAGAATGCAAACCAGGCAAAGACAGAATGCAAACCAGGAAAATACAGAATGTTCACCAAAGACAGAAAATGTGGAAATACGAAATGGACAACAGCTGATCGATCGCGTTGACTTGGAGATGCGTGTTTGTAGTGTGCTTGTGCTTGCAAAGGAAGCTCGTTGCGGGTTCTAAGTCGGCGACGGCGGCGATGCTTCCGCACGACAGCACAGCCTCGTAGGTTGGCGGCTGCGTCGTCGAGAAGCTCATCGCCGATTTGTGTCCATCAAATATCAAGATATCAAGAACGACCAAGGTGCACAACTCTTGAGGAATATAAAAAGATAGATTGCGATTACATCGTGTTCATCTTGAGGTCGAGCTTGAAGAAGGCGACGAGGAACGCGAGTGCACTCAAGACACCGCCGACAAGCACCGGGAGCGCGTAGCCCATGTCGGTCTTGACGAGGACACTCGCAAAGGCAAAGTTGAGGAACTGGCCGAGGCAGTTGGCCGAGTTGAACGCGCCAGCAAACAACCCGAGGTTGTTCTCGGTACCGTGGCCCACGACGTGCATGATCGTCGGGATCTGGAGCGAGAAGATCGTGTTCTGCGTCATGCAGCACGCAATGACAATGATCATATCCACAGGAATGATCTTGCAGAACGCCATCGCGATGAGCAGAATCTGCGGAATCGTCGTCGCCGTGATGACGGCCTTGGCGCCAAACTTGCGCACGAGGTACGGGAGCACCGCGAGGAAGAGCAGCGAGACGCAGTTGTAGATCGTGTCGGTCGTGCCACTCGCGAGCTGGACGCCGTCGTTGAAGTTCGTTTGCGCTTCCGTGCAGTTGGAGCCGCACTTGTCGGCGCCTTCGGCCGACCCGCCCTTGACGACAAGGCCAAAGAACTGGCCCTTCGCGCCGTTGTAGGCTGTAAAGCCGTACTGGATGAGCACAAAGCAGACCGCGTAGTACGCGAGTGTCTTGGGGAGGATCTTGATACCGGTCCAGACCGCCACGAACGCCGCCTTGATCTCGGCGCCCTTGGCGCGCTGGACGGGCGGCACGTAGGGCGTCTCCTTGACGAAGATAACGACCGCCATCGTCGTCACGAGCATGATCACGATGAGCATCGTCATGAACGACTTGATCGACTCGTGGGCGGCGCCAAAGAAGAGGATGTAGCCCGAGACCGCAAACGAGCCCGCGATCGAGTAGGCGCCGCCGATCGAGGCGGCCGTGACCTGGCGATCGCCGGCAAAGTCGGCGATGATGAGACCCGCGGGGACCTGGGTGATGTTGCACGTAATGTCCATCCAAACGTAGCAGAGGACGGTAAAGACCGTGGTCCACTTGCGGTCAATGAGCGTCTCGGTCTTTTCGGCGACGTACTTGTTGATCATGGTCGTGTTGGTGTCGCCAAGCGCCTCGCCAATGTCGACGGCGTGCATCATGACGAGCCAGCAGAGCGCGCTTGTGATCGCGCCCCAGAAGAGGTACGGGCGGCG